TTTTAAAGCTCTCCGTGGCTTTGCCCCATCTTATCTCTCTGAGCTAAGATGTTGTTTACTTTTAATATAGGGCTGTTTTAATTTTTATGTATTATGTGTTTTATATATTTATTAATTTTTGCTGTTTTCTGTTATTCTTTTGTTTTTAACTGATTTTCTGTACAGCACTTTGGTCCTGTGCTGGGTGTTTTAAAGTGCTTTTGGATTGGACTGGATACTTGAACTGATGATGGGTGGCCGACAGCAGCGAAGCGTTTGATGAGCTGGCAGTGAGGGGAAATCAGACAGTACAGATACAGGAAAATATTATTTCTATTCATATTCTACCTGGCTTTCCTGCGCAGCAGTTTCTTGGACTCTGGATAGTGGACCAGGATCTCATTCAGGTCTTTTTTGTCCAGGATGAATAGATTGGCAAAGCCATGAGCAATCACATTGGCTGTGCGCCTGTTACCACCGCCGACTGCAAGCAAGCTACCAAACAAAGAGCACTGTGGTTAAAAACAGCATTATTTAAAAGAAAGCTGCATTTTTACATTTCAGGAAAGAGGAATTTCTCTATAAGTGTAACTGTTTGATTTGATGTATAAAATGGTTCTGGGACCTTGGAGTGTGACCATCACATCTATGCTCGTTTGCATGTGTGACAACACTGTAACTCTGTTTGAAAACATTTTGTTTTACCTTTACTCTTAATTGTGCGCCACGTCTTTACCTGATTTCTCCAAAGACTGATCCTGCTCTAAGAGTGACAAATACAGTCTTCCCATCTGGGCCTCCGACCACCTGCACCTCTCCAGCCTTTATGATATACATCTCCCGACCCACCTCGCCCTTAGACAAGTGAAATACCCGAGCCAGCTGATTAGACAGAGATATTTGACATCATTCATACACCAGAACATGGAGAAATAAGCACATGTACCTTTTTGCAGACATAATCCCCCGGGAGATAGACGACCGAGCGCAGGCTTTTTAGCATGTCGAAAATCATCTGTCTGTCACAACCCTGTCAGGAGGGAGAGCCACAATAAAACCTTGGCGTCACTTCTCCAGATGCATAAAAGTATTTTAAAAAGTGAGATTAAGTGAAACCAGTATGTTCTACATTTTGTATTTCTAACTCCTACCTGAAAAAGAGGGACTTTGCTCACAATGGAGTAGCTGACATCGATCGCTATGTCCAGACGCATTTTATCTGGCAACTGATTCAGCAGCTCCTGCTCGTCTGGACGGTAAAGGAAGAAGCAAAGGGTCAGGTGTGACGGAAACATCGGATGCGTAAGATGAATGCAAATATATCACGTCCTCCTCACCCAGCATGCCTTGTGATTGCCACGTATAGTTATACCAGGTTTTGACCCGGTTCTGGACGTCTCTCGGGATGCGGTAGGAGGACATGTATTTAATAGTGCTGTCCATGCAGCTGCGGTAGTACGTTTGACTTGCTGTAGCTGCACCGACAACATCACGCATCTGACAGACAAATGAGCAAAATGAGGATTATTAGTGTCCCAAAACCACAACAAACATTTGCCCCCTTTCTGATTTCTTTTTCGATATTTGTCACATTTAAATGTTTCAGACCATCACACTACCACCACCACTGTGGTGACTTCCCCAAAGTCTTGACAATCATCCAGACTTTTTTTCACTCCTTTGGAAGCGTCACCCGTTACGTCCTGGTCTAGGAGTACAGGAGCGCAACATAAGGGTTAAAAGGAGAGTGACCCCGGCCCGGTCCCCAAAACCATATCCAGAAGCCAATTTACAGGTTAAGGTGGTTTTATTGTTACCAAAAACCGAAAGCTTTAACTCCGGGGTGAACAAAGGCCAAAACAACAAACAGAACAAGCTATTCCAAAAAGGGAGGTGCTAGCAAACACAAGACAAGCGCTACTGCTAACTCCCTAACGGAATAAACAAGAGAAGGAAGGCAGTCCACGCCTTCTGCTTCAGAGCCATAAGTGGAAGCATCTAAACACTGTATACAAAACTTAGCAATTCTCCGAAGTCACACACGGAAGTTTATCACAGATAAAGGTTTGGAGGCGGAGGACGGCTCTGCTGCTGTCAGGGGGAACAACCAGTGTTGCCAACTCCTCAGTAAGGAAAATCGCTATTGGTTGTCCTAGAAGTCGCTAAATGACGTCATCACCTAATTTGCACAATTGGTCATGCTAATGTAATTGTAACCTATGTTGTTGGAGAGAGAAATAACATCGTGGAAGAGACATAAAGTGAGTAAAAAACGTCCTAAATGCATTTAGAGTTTATTTAGAACTACAAATTAAATTTCTTTTAGCAAATATTGTTTTTTTTAAATGTCACAATTCCAACCCTGCTCCTTTATCCGGGCTTGGACCGGCAAAAGTGACCCGAAATAGGCACTCTGGTGGAGTTACTTTGTGTGTGTTTATAAGTAGTTTTAAACCTTGTGATCCACAAAACAGCATAAGAGTAAAAGAGTAAAAGAAGAACTGACTGCGTTACAGCACCCGCTGCTTGTTGAGAGTAAAAGCGATACTTTCACGTCTTTTTTTAGCGACTTTTTTTAGAAAAAAAGTCGCTAGGGGGTCTGAAAACTCGCTAAATATAGCGACAAAGTCGCTAAGTTGGCAACACTGGGAACAACTGCTGGAGAGGATTTTGAAAACAGCCACTTGATGATGGAACCAATCAGCAGCTGCCAGCTCTCCAATCAGGAAGGACCTGCAGAGACTCTTAAAGGCACAGGACACCCAGAACAAAATCCAGCCAACGTGATCCAAAATATGGCCAGGGACATAACACACCATAGTTTCCAGGCTCTTTAACGCTGGAGTCCCAAAGCCTTAGAAATGCGCTGCAACTCTTTCTTCATGCTTGTTTACATCGTGCAGTGATGAGCCGCTTTCTGTTAGCAGACTTCACTTTGTCAGACACGTTCCAATGTCGGCCTGGGTGCGCTTAGTGAAACTGAACTCAACTGTCCAAAAAACCTGATTAGTCGCAGTTAATTCATCATTTAACCAACGGGTCAAATACTTTTTCACACAGGTGCAGGTAGATGTTGGCTTTGTTTTCATCATTTAAAAACTGTATTTTATACTTACTCAGGTTATCGTTGTGTAAAATTAAAATCTGTTCGATGATCTGAAACATTTAAGTGTGAGAAAAATATTTAAAAAAGAAATCAGGAAGGTGGGCAAAGACTGTACATGAGGCCTACCTGTCCAATCATGATTGAGAAAGCAAAGACTCCGATAAAGTAGTTGATGAGTTGGAAGATGGTCTCAGACAGGGTGGTGGGATCTGGCAGACCCCCAATGGTAATCAAAGTCTTCACTGCGAAGTAGTAACAGCGAATGTAACTGAGAAGAGAAACACTCTGTTCTTATCTTCAAAGCAGTCATTTGGTTAAAAGACACATGGCCGCTACTAAAAACAACCCACCAACCTGTTGCCCTCGCCGTTGTACACCCACTGAGTCAGTCCCAGTCCTATGAAGTCAGAGATCGAGTAGTAGAGACAGGCATTAAAGTGCAGACAGTAAAGAAGATAGGTGGTGGTACGAATCACCCTAAGAGACGGAAAACACAGGAAAATGCATGAAATGCACATCTGACAGCAGATTGTTCACCTGTGACTCGGTAGCTTTGTATGTCTCTTAAAACTTTATTTCAAAAAGGAAACGAGGACAATACAGTCACAATTTTTCCTGCC